GAGAGAGAGAGAGAGAGAGAGAGAGAGAGAGAGAGAGAGAGAGAGAGAGAGGGAGAGGGAGAGGGAGAGGGAGAGGGAGAGGGGGGAGCGGGGCAGACAGGCAAACATGAAACATCGTTGACGAGGATACAATAACACTCAGACAAGAAAATAAATAGAAATGAAAATAACTCATGAATACAATTAAAACCAAAGTATATAACCGCAGAAACACGAGACAAACGGGAGCAGAAACACCAAGCACAGATTCCAGTATCAGACACAATATCGAAGCAAATCACAACAAAAACTAGATGGAGCAATGCTGAAATTCTGATAGCTCATAGTGATGAGTGATATGTTTTGATATGGGTACGAGATTTTAGTTTAAAAAATTACCCCGAATTAATCTCCAGTCACTTCTCAGTTAGGTAACTGGTCTGATTGGTGTATTATTTAACGTAGCTGCTTCACATGGAAGAAGTGAGTTCGCTGACTGCAAGAACGTTTATACTAGTATATCGAGTATTTTTGTCTGTCTGCCTGGATACTGTATCCCACTTTATCAAGTTAGCCCTGAAAGGCAGACGCGAATCAACCCGCCTAAAAAAAAGTATCTAAATTGTGTCGCTGGGGGCGTAAAAATTGCCATTTTTCAGTAAATAGGTCGCGGGTACCTGTATAGCGGGCGTGGCCCTGCATGTGATGGTCACTGGTTTGTTTCTGACCACGTAGTAGTTCTCTAGAGGTTGTAGCTCCCACTCCGGCAGGCCCTGGGTCAGAGGGTCGCTGCTCCCGAACGGGTAGTCACCTGGAGAAGACACAGAAAGGAAAAGTCTGGTTAATGATTTGTCGTTTACAGAATGAGCATATTTATTGAAACGTGAAAGAAAAGGTGCGTGCAGAAACAATAGTACAGGCGCACAATAGGGAAAGAGGGAGAGAGAGAGAGAGAGAGAGAGAGAGAGAGAGAGAGAGAGAGAGAAAGTTTTGGGTCTATATTGTCCAATATTCGTTTTACTTTTTTTCGCACCCGAGGAGGTACATAAAAAAACTGGAAAGAATAGTTTAAAACAAAATAACAGCACAGGAAAGTCACACTATTCTTCCAAAAAGTACAAGTATCAAAATAAAAATATTAAAAACCACAAACAAATCCCCCCCTCCGGCATTTACGTACGAGCTGCATTCAATGCGTCCGTTTTCAGAAACTGCAAAAGCGATTTTTCTTCTTACAAGCGCGTAACGTAACAAAGCATGGATCGGCTGGACCCAAAATACAAGTTCCCCAACAACTCAGACTGCCGCCACAACCTGACCCTCCGCATTACGTCATTCTTGACAAATCAGATTCTTAGAGAGTTAAAATTGAAATATTCAGTTTCGACCATTACCATCTCATTTTAGAACAACTGCATATTGTCGAGTTGTTCCTTTATTCTTTCTTTCTTTCTTTTTCTTTTTAAAATCTCTCACGACTTCCTGCCTCCTTTTGGACGCTCACATATCCGTCGCATCTGGAAACTTTAAAATAAAACAAAACAAAACAAAAGGAGAAATTTTTTTTTTTATAACGACGAACGCTTTGTGGCTGCGATACAGTGTCATTAGTGTCACGCACACACATCAGACTTCACGGATTTAGATTTTTTTGTTTTTCGGAGTTTTATTTTTGAGTTTTTTTCTGACTTCGGGTTA